CAGCAACCGCCCAGGGAGGTACTACCGTCCTGCCAAGTGAGTGTAAAATGGAAACCTGTAATTGTTTTACATGATGGTAGGATTGCTGGTGTCTTTTTTCTGTCTCATAAACATGCAAGATTTCAGGTATGTCTTGCTACTTTTACTTACACTGAGGTCACACTACACATACATGTACAAGCATATATATACATACCCCTCTGTGTTTTCTTCTATTTTCTTTCTAGTTCTTGTTTTTGTTTATTTCCTCTTATCTCCATGGGGAAGTGGAACAGAATTCTTCCTCCGTAAGCCATGCGTGTTGTAAGAGGCGACTAAAATGCCGGGACCAAGGGCCTAGTAACCCTTTCTCCTGTATAAATTACTAAATTTAAAAAGAGAAACTTTAGTTTCTCTTTTTGGGCCACCCTGCCTTGGTGGGATATGGCTGGTTTATTGAAAAAAAAAAAAAACTTAATAAAGCCCATCCTTGGATGAAATGTTGTAATAAAAAGTTTCCTGCTACCAGTTCTTTATTTCCATTTTTTTTGTCTTATGTCACTATTTGCCTACTACCCAAGGTATAAAGTCACAAATATCTAGGGTGAAATAACACCCAAGATGAAATAACACCCACAATGATAGGAAATGGGTACTAACCAGAAAACAGCACTGGAGCTATAAATAACTGTTTCCTGTAGAACAAGATAGTAACTGGGTTTTGGAGCTTTGCCGAGTTTCAGCTGACACAGCAGAACAAATATCAACATGGGAGCAGTGAAGAGGTTCCTACACTGAACATAAAGTGTATGATGAATCTTTGTGGGGGTTCAAAGAGGCATCTTTCATTGCAAATGAGACAAGATATAACAGGCTGACCTAGGTGGTCTGTCTGGGGTTCCCACTACAGAATAGTTAATATGGCATTATTTTATAAATTTAAAAAAATATTAAATTCTTTTTTTTTTTAACACATCAGCTGTTTCCCACTGAGGCAGGGTGAAACCCCCCCCCCCCAAAAAAAAAAAAAACTTTCATCATCGTTCAACACTTTCACCATCATTCATACGTAATAACTGTCTTTGCAGTGGTGCTCAGATACAACAGTTTAGGTGTCACTCCAAACAGCCAATATCCCAAACCCCTCCTTTAAAGCACAGCCACTGTACTTACCACCTCCAGGATTCAAGTCCGGCTAACCGGTTTCCATGAATCCCTTCACAAAATATTACCCTGCTTGTCAGGTCCCAAAACCCACTTGTTTCCATTCTCTCCTATCCAACACACTCACACACACTTGCTGGAAGTCCAAGCCCCTCACCCACAAAACCTCCTTTACCCCTTACCTCCATCCTCCATCCCTTTCCAATACATAACTAAATGTTAGGCTTATTAGGGAATGAAAAAGCACAAATACAAATGTAAATTAATAAATAATGGAAAAATCCTAATGGAAAGCCAATGAAGAAATCTTACTTAGATAGTTCAAAGTAGCTCTGTAACAGGATTCAGGTCTTGGTATTTAAAGTTTTTCAGAAGGAAAAGAAAATTCTAACTGAAGAAAAGAGAAAAGAGAACAAGAGATACACATGAGTCAAAGGGCAAGGAGTTCTTAATAATAATAGCATAAATATTATGCAGATATAAACAGCTATTGGAGGATAGATGGGCTAATGAGAGCATAGGCAATGGGGTCGAAGAGGTATGGGATAGGATTAAAAATGTAGTGTTAGAGTGTTCAGCAGAAGTTTGTGGTTACAGGAAAGTGGGTGCAGGAGGGAAGAGGAGCGATTGGTGGAATGATGATGTAAAGAGAGTAGTAAGGGAGAAAAAGTTAGCATATGAGAAGTTTTTTACAAAGTAGAAGTGATGCAAGGAGGGAAGAGTATATGGAGAAAAAGAGAGAGGTTAAGAGAGTGTGTGAAGCAATGTAAAAAGAGAGCAAATGAGAGAGTGGGTGAGATGTTATCAACAAATTTTGTTGAAAATAAGAAAAAGTTTTGAGTGAGATTAACAAGTTAAGAAAGCCTAGAGAAACAAATGGATTTGTCAGTTAAAAATAGGAGAGGAGAGTTATTAAATGGAGAGTTAGAGGTATTGGGAAGATGGAGGGAATATTTTGAGGAAATTGTTAAATGTTGATGAAGATAGGGAAGCTGTGATTTCGTGTATAGGGCAAGGAGGAATAACATCTTGTAGGAGTGAGGAAGAGCCAGTTGTGAGTGTGGGGGAAGTTCGTGAGGCAGTAGGTAAAATGAAAGGGGGTAAGGCAGCCGGGATTGATGGGATAAAGATAGAAATGTTAAAAGCAGGTGGGGATTTAGTTTTGGAGTGGTTGGTGCAATTATTTAATAAATGTATGGAAGAGGGTAAGGTACCTAGGGATTGGCAGAGAGCATGCATAGTTCCTTTGTATAAAGGCAAAGGGGATAAAAGAGAGTGCAAAAATTTATAGGGGGATAAGTCTGTTGAGTGTACCTGGTAAAGTGTATGGTAGAGTTATAATTGAAAGAATTAAGAGTAAGACGGAGAATAGGATAGCAGATGAACAAGGAGGCTTTAGGAAAGGTAGGGGGTGTGTGGACCAGGTGTTTACAGTGAAACATATAAGTGAACAGTATTTAGATAAGGCTAAAGAGGTCTTTGTGGCATTTATGGATTTGGAAAAGGCGTATGACAGGGTGGATAGGGGGCAATGTGGCAGATGTTGCAAGTGTATGGTGTAGGAGGTAGGTTACTGAAAGCAGTGAAGAGTTTTTACGAGGATAGTGAGGCTCAAGTTAGAGTATGTAGGAAAGAGGGAAATTTTTTCCCAGTAAAAGTAGGCCTTAGACAAGGATGTGTGATGTCACCGTGGTTGTTTAATATATTTATAGATGGGGTTGTAAGAGAAGTAAATGCGAGGGTCTTGGCAAGAGGCGTGGAGTTAAAAGATAAAGAATCACACACAAAGTGGGAGTTGTCACAGCTGCTCTTTGCTGATGACACTGTGCTCTTGGGAGATTCTGAAGAGAAGTTGCAGAGATTGGTGGATGAATTTGGTAAGGTGTGCAGGAGAAGAAAATTAAAGGTGAATACAGGAAAGAGTAAGGTTATGAGGATAACAAAAAGATTAGGTGATGAAAGATTGAATATCAAGATTGGAGGGAGAGAGTATGGAGGAGGTGAACGTATTCAGATATTTGGGAGTGGACGTGTCAGCGGATGGGTCTATGAAAGATGAGGTGAATCATAGAATTGATGAGGGAAAAAGAGTGAGTGGTGCACTTACGAGTCTGTGGAGACAAAGAACTTTGTCCTTGGAGGCAAAGAGGGGAATGTATGAGAGTATAGTTTTACCAACGCTCTTATATGGGTGTGAAGCGTGGGTGATGAATGTTGCAGTGAGGAGAAGGCTGGAGGCAGTGGAGATGTCATGTCTGAGAGCAATGTGTGGTGTGAATATAATGCAGAGAATTCGTAGTTTGGAAGTTAGGAGGAGGTGCGGGATTACCAAAACTGTTGTCCAGAGGGCTGAGGAAGGGTTGTTGAGGTGGTTCGGACATGTAGAGAGAATGGAGCGAAACAGAATGACTTCAAGAGTGTATCAGTCTGTAGTGGAAGGAAGGCGGGGTAGGGGTCGGCCTAGGAAAGGTTGGAGGGAGGGGGTAAAGGAGGTTTTGTGTGCGAGGGGCTTGGACTTCCAGCAGGCATGCATGAGCGTGTTTGATAGGAGTGAATGGAGACAAATGGTTTTTAATACTTGACGTGCTGTTGGAGTGTGAGCTAAGTAACATTTATGAAGGGATTCAGGGAAACCGGCAGGCCGGACTTGAGTCCTGGAGATGGGAAGTACAGTGCCTGCACTCTGAAGGAGGGGTGTTAATGTTGCAGTTTAAAAACTGTAGTGTAAAGCACCCTTCTGGCAAGACAGTGATGGAGTGAATGATGGTGAAAGTTTTTCTTTTTCGGGCCACCCTGCCTTGGTGGGAATCGGCCAGTGTGATAATAAAAAATAAATAATAAGTATAGTTGTACCAACACTCTTATATGGGTGTGAAGCTTAGGTTGCAAATGCTGCAGCGAGGAGGTGGCTGGAGGCAGTGCAGATGTCCTGCCTAAGGGCAATGTGTGGTGTAAATATTATGCAGAGAATTTGAAGTGTGGAAATTAGGAGGAGGTGTGGAGTTACTAAAAGTATTAGTCAGAGGGCTGAAGAATGGTTGTTGAGGTGGTTTGGTCATTCAGAGAGAATGGATCAAAGTAGAATGACTAGGAGAGCATATAAATCTTTAGGGGAAGGAAGGCGGGGTAGGGGACGTCCTCGAAAAGGTTGGAGGGAGGGGGTAAAGGAGGTTTTGTGGGCGGGGGGCTTGGACTTCCAGCAAGCATGTGTGAGCGTGTTAGATACGAGTGATTGGAGACGAATGGTTTTTGGGATCTGACGAGCTGTTGGAGTGTGAGCAGGGTAATATTTAGTGAAGGGATTCAGGGAAACTGATTATTTTTATATAGCCAGACTTGAGTACTGGATATGGGAAGTACAATGCCTGCACTTTAAAGGAGGGGTTTGGAATATTGGCAGCTGAGAGGGGTAGGTTATAGTATATCTTTATATAAGCTACTAAACTGTTGTATCTGGGTTCCTCTGCAAAAACAGTGATTATGTGTGTGAGGTGAAAGTGTTGAATGATGATGAAAGCATTTTCTTTTTGGGGATTTTCTTTGTTTTTGGGTCACCCTGCCTCGGTGGGAGATGGTAAACTTGTTGAGGGGGAAAAAATAATAATAATAATAATGATTAGACACATGTGCAACTCTTGGGTGTCTTCATTGAGGAAACGTTTCGCCGCACAGTTGAGGGACTGATTACCTCGTTCTCCTCCTGTTCTTCATGTTTCTCCTTTGTATTGACTGATGAAGCCACTGTGTGGCAAAACGTTTCCTCAATAAAGACACCCAAGAGTTGCACGTATGTCTAATTAATCAACATGTTCGTTCTCTGAACCATTCATCTACAATAATAATGATATTGAGCATACCTGTCTCCACATGTCCAACTCTCCCTGGGGACAATCCTTGGACACCTCTCCTGAACCACTTAATAAAGGCTCATCATCATCTGTGGAAGGTCATTGAAGTCCTTAAACTTGGTCTTGGGTAATGAAAGTATATCATAAGTGAATGGCTAAAAAATATTTAATGAATGTAGGACATCTTTCAAAGAAAAAAAGTGTCTCCCCCCAAAATAGCAAATGACCGAGTTTCTAAATGCAATTAATCATTTCAATCGTTGAGTTTCATTAACCCTTAAATGGTCCAAACAAATCGACGTTCAAATTCGTAGTGCTACAAAAGTAGATCTGCTTTTTTTTTTACATATTTTCAAATGTAACAAAAAAAAATGTAGATAAAAGTTTTTTTTACACGTTTTCAAATGTAAAACAAAAAAGAAGATCTACATTTTTTTACATACTTTCAGATGTTGAAAAAATGTATATATACGTTTGGACCATTTAAGGGTTAAAAGTATCCCCCCCCCAAAAAAAAAAACTCATTAAAACCATTTCATGAGGGTAACGTAATGCCTGGTTGACCAGGCCGATCCACTGGTTGGCCTGGAAAAGGATTTGCAGTCAAGAGGAGCTGACTCCTGCAACACCTTCCAGGTAGTTCAAGTCAATCATTCCTGCCATAAAATGTTTCAACAGGGTAACAAGCATAGTGTTTAATTTAACTACTCCCATCACAATACTTCCTTTTAAGAGGACAACACAGTAGATTTCTTCATTCATTCTCATCCACACATGAGTGTGCACACTCCTGCAACTTATTATTTAAATAAAGACATGGGATTCAATTCTCAGCTTTATGGAAAAATAACTTCAGCATCACAGTTCATTTGTTTTCTTCTGCAAAGGTCCCTAGTTTGGCCCTGTTATAGTTTTTAAGGTAAAGTGGCATAAAAAAAAAAACTTCTACTGATAAGGTTCTAAGAACAGAAATTAAAAATGTGAAATCACCTTCCTTCTTAAGTTGCATTATATCACTGTTATTTTTACTTTCTGTAGAAACCATCTCATATTTTAAACTGACCCTATCAATCATAATTTTCTTTGTCATTTTCCTAGCAGGACAGCTTGGGTGCCAAGGCTTATAAGGTAAGTGGAGAAACCAGATCATAGTTTAGCCAAGTAACTACTTACTTATCTTTGTTTCTTATTTCTTATGACCATTTCTTTTTCTTTTAAATATTGGTAATGTATAATGAGGTGGGTAACTGTACCAAGTAAAGGCACTTTAGGTTGGTGGCATAATTGCCTATCTCATGGTTCGATTACTCCATTACACAGTATTACACACCATAGCATTATGGTGGATAAATACAAATGGAGTATAATGCAATCCTTTACTGGCACTTTGCCTATGCACTGGGCTTCATACACTAACCTGTATCTTCATCACATCCTGGGGTTTCAATTGAAGCTATAGATGGTGAACGACCAGTAGAAAGTGAGGATAATGTTGAAGAGGTTAAAGAGGAGAGATTAAGTGACAGTGACATTGTGGATGGACGCCAACGTTCCACCTCTCCCAGGTTGTCAACACTCGTCACAACATACTGCTGGTCACCTTGTGGAGAATGAGCCACCTGAAAAAAATAGATATTTTATTAAGGCAAAGATTAAAAATTTTTTTTTTTCCAACGTGCTGGCCGTTTTCCACCAAAGCAGGGTGACCCAAAAAAAAGAAACACTTTCACCATCATCCACACAAAATCACTGTCTTTGCAGAGGCGTGCAGCTATGATAGTTCAGATGTCACTCCAAACAGCAAATATCCAAGACCTTCCTTTAAAGTGCAGACATGGAACTTCCCACCTCCAGGACTCAAGTCCAGCTAACCGGACTAAAATATCATTCCTATTAAAAAAATGACAAAAAAATACATTATAACAATGATACTTTCAAGCAAATGAGATTAAAAAAAAAATGACATTCTCAACAGCAAATAGCTTCATTAGAGTTCTGTCTCAAAAATCAAATAAAATTTAAGCATTTATAAATAAAATTACAGATTTAGATATTAGATAACATGGCCATTTCCCACCAAGGCAAGGTGACCCAAAGAATAAACACTTTCATCATCACTCACTCTATCACAGTCTTGCCAGAGACGTGGCGATATCACAGTTCAAAAACTGCAACATATCTCTTCCCCTCCTTCAGAGTGAAGGCACTGTACTTCCCACCTCCACAACTTAAGTTCAGCTAACTGGCTTCCCTGAATCCTTTCATAAATGTTACCTTACTCATACTTCAACAGCTCGTTAAGTCATAAAAACCACTTGCTTCTACTCCTATATAACATGCCTATTGGATATCTAAGCCCCTTGCTCCCAAAATCTCCTTTACCCAGTCCCTACAACCTCTCCTAGGATGACCTCTACCCTGTCTTCCCTCCACTACAGATTTATATGCCCTCCTAATCATCCTATTTTGTTCCATCCTCTCTAAATGCCTCCACCACCACTCTTCAGCATCTCTGAATAATACTTTTAGTAACCCTGTCCCTCCTAATCTCTAAGCTACAAATTCTCTGCATAATATTTACACAACACACTGCCCTCATACACAACATTTCCACTGCATACAGAATCCTCCTTGCTGCAACATTCACAATGCATGCTTCACACCCATTTAAGTGTATTGGTACCCCTATACCCTCATACAATTCCCTTTTTGCCTCCACTGATAACAGTTTTTGTCTCCACAGTTTTCTCAGTGCACAACTCACTTTCCCTTCATCAATAGTATGGTTTATCTCATCTTTCATAGATCCAGATATAATACATGATTTGAATCTGAATAACAAATACGTACCTGTTTGAGCTTAAGGGAGAATAAATGGACGAGTGGTTTCTTACTGAAGTACCAGAATCGCTCATGGTGAGGGTACACTCTCACTTTGGTTTCAATTACAAAACGAACTGGTTCTTGAATACCTCCTGTCATAGAAGAGCAAGAGGATAATTTACAAAATTATGATATTAACGTAGTTCATTATCATTTCATTCAGGAGAAAGTGTGGAGAGCACAGTGGTCATACAGTGCCTAGGGATGAGAGGTAATCATTACAACAATGAAACATAATACCAATAACTAAGTTTGATTCAAGAATGGGGAGTGAATCTCCATTTCCTTGGATCACGAGCCCTTCACCAGCATCAAGACACTCTTCCCCCTCCTTGAAGGGTTAATGCAGTTCAAATTATGGTACTTAAGTGAACCTTGCAATCCTCCACATAACAAATAGAAAAACTTCACTACTTAATAATCATTAAATAAAATTTCATGAAAATTTTTCAGCTAAAATTATTATTGTTTTAAATATTAGATAATTTTCTATTAAATGTCAAACTCCTGCAAGAAATTGTTATTACAAGTATAAGGAAAAATAAACTCTCAAGATCTGTACAGTGCCTGGGAAATAGGAGGCAATCAGGTTTGATTCAATGAAGTGGGGGATAACTATAATTCCTTGGCTCAAAAGCTCTTCAGCAACATGAAGGCCCCCTCTCAAGGGTGAGGAACAGGAGAAGACTATGGACTTACTTATGACTAGATCTATGGCAACTGTCATGAAGATCCTCCTGTCTCTAGGAGTCTCTCTATTGAGGACAACAAATGCAGAATCAGATGGGTCCCAATGACCAGAAATAACATAACTTTTCTTGTCATTTGCATTGCTACCCATTGAAACCTGTAAAGAAAAATTAACACACCATTTAAAAACATTAAAATTCTAAAGTTTACTATTAAATAACTTTTTCCATATCTATGGAGTATAGTAAATCTTTGATATAATGGACCTCAACCTGACAGACTTCAAAAATAAAGAACAAAATCCACTCGGCAAATTGTACTTTTAACTCCTTTGTTTGGGTGTACGGTACTGTATCATGCATACAGTACTGTAGTGCTTTCTTTTTATTGTTTTTAACATTAGTCAGAGATACAGGACACTCAGACAGTCCAATTCATTGGTACATGAAGTCAAGGTTTTACTGCATTTAAAATTATCTGTTCAAGAAAGAAAAGACAACTGTATACAGACTTACTCTAAGAGTTCCTAACATTCTTTGAAGAGTTATGAAAGTCACAATACCATGGCTTGAACAATTCACAAACAATACACACTTTGGAAAAGATAATTTAGACACCCCCTCAGTCCATCCTGAACCATTAGAAAGAGAACTAAAGTGTGGGTTATTTGTGAATGTTTTTAAAGATGAGCACCAGTCATAAGAAAATATACTACAGAAGGTCCCCCAACCTACAAACTTGTTGAATTATAAATTTTTTTGACTTACAAACACCTTGTTTATATAGACAACCACACTACAAAGAATGTTTATGTTTTACAACTTTGTGCTGACACTCAGCAGTTTCAAAATTTTAGTTCATTTCTAAGTGTCCCTTTTGTATGTGTGGATGTTTGCAACTCTGGGAGTTTGTAAGTTTAGAGACTTAGTTTATAGTAGTGTACGATAAAGAAAAACCAAGTACAATATAGCATTAATATTTCATATATATGAGCCCTTGACTAGAACTACAATGATAAAAATAACAGCATGACCACAAACTGTTTTTTTCTTCTAATAAAATATTGTAATGCATAGTGTAACATTCTGTTATTACCTGGAAAATGGGGGTAATCAGGTTTGATCTGCAGAGGGAGAGAGCAGCTTTAATTCCTTGGATCAAGAGCCCTTCACCAGCATCAATGCACTCTCCTTGAAGGGTTTACTATAAGAGTACTGATAGCAGCAAGGTACTGGCTAAGATGCTCAGATCTCTAAACTACAGAGGCACAGGGGATTCCTGACTTACAAACACTTCAGTTACAATGGTCTGCATATATGAATGATGTCCAAAGGTTATAACACTATATTAAGAAAATAATCTTTTGAATGCCAATTTACATGTACAAACATGTGATACACATATCCTAGTGCTATCATTATCTATAGGCTCAGGAATAGAAATTATCTACTCCCAAGTTGAAACACCAGGAACAGGACTTGTTAGTAAGTGTGGTAGCCCCTGTACTGCAAAACCAATAGGTAGTTTATAAATTATTAGATCTAACATCATGGATATTACCAATAAACATTTTTATAATTCAGGCTCCATATATGACAAAGTACTGGGAAGCATCAACCAGAAAGTGATCAGTTTACCTTGCTATAATAATACTGGTAGAATGTTTGGGATGTTGTTCACTACAATACATAAAATATTTTTGGTAAATTACTGTGCTGTAATGATGTACAAAATTCAAGAAAACAATTTTAACTGCAAATCTAAAGAAAGCATTTAATTGCCAATTAATGTTATTATAATTTAGTTTTGATTATGAGGCACTATTTCAAGATAGTTATTCCCTTTAAAGTTGCATTTGGCCTGGGGCATAGTTTGCATACCCATAACCACTCATAAGAATTGTGTACGTCCACAGACAAATAAAAAAAAAAAAGATTGATCTGGACAGCAGATGAATAAAACTACTGTAGTTGATGTTTTACGTACAAAGGATAAATTAATTGGCTGCTCATGAAACAAAAGCACAGAAGTAGCAAAACTCATCTGAAATGAAATTACATAAAAAAAAAAGTCAAGAAGTTACATAAAACTTATGTAATGAACAATTCTAGTCATGCAAAACATTTTGGTCCTTAACAAAAGATAAGTGATTGAAGTAACAGCTTTTAACAGTTTACAAACCCTGACAGATACGATAGTTAAAAGTCAACAGCTTACACATTCTGATTGCTACAACAGTTAAAAACTTAAATTACAGAGCTTAAAAATTTAAGCAAAGGTATGTAGTAGAAAAATGATAGGAAGTAGGTTATAAAGGGTTCCTGAAAGCAATGTGAGATGAAAGGTAAGATGACCCAGAGAAGAAGACACATTCACCATCACCCATTCTCGAGTTGCCTTTCCAAAAGTGCACAGACATTGCAATTCAGATGACTGACTCTCTGAACTGCAACATCTCCATCCATCCATCCATCCAGAGTGCACGGACTGTCCTTCCCATCTCTAGACCTATATAAAGACAGCATAAATAGCTACAAAAGTAACAAAAGTGATCTTTGTTTAAAAAAGTACAGTAGGTATATGAAAAATTGACTGCATGAGATGGAATGAGATCAATTGCTAGTTTTTCTCATCATATACAGCCTGGAGAATGTGAGGCAGATCAGATGTAATTCAAGGGAGGAGAGAGTAGCTCCAACTCCATAGATCAAAAGCCCTTTACCAGCATCAAGGTGTGCCCCTTTAAGGGAAAACAACTGAAAAAAGTGAAAGGCTGAATTTTATGACAAAATAAAAAAATATAAAAATCATGCACCTCACAAATGAAAAATGTTAAATGAAAGCCAAAGTAACAAAGACAGTATATGAAGAAAAGGCATATATAAATATTTCACATTGATTTTTGTGAAAGTGAAGCAAAAATATACGCACGACATTTTTTATTTGCCAAAATGATTGTCACATTTTAAGCCAAGCCTGCAAGTTCCAGCTAAAACTTGCAACATATGTTGGACATTTTTCCTAACTAAAAGAATTAAGATCATAACTTATTACTCACATTAAGTGTAAACCTTTTTCCAGAGGTGTACGCAGTAATAATTGACGAAATGCTTCTTAAGATAATGTAAATCATTCCATAAATAATACTTTAACTTACATAAAAAGCTTTAACTTTTACTTTTTATTTGACATGAAGAAATATCAAGCTTAATTTTCAAGAAATTTTCACAATGCTCACTACTAGAGTACTCACTAGCATTTGGAAATGCTTGATGACAATCACTAGTACATCTGACTCTTGCTGTATGTAATATGTAGATGCATTCCAGGCCCCAGGGCACTTTTTTTTTTTTTTTTAACAAACTGGCCATCTCCCACCAAGGTAGGATGACCCGAAAAAACCCTTTCACCATCATTCACTGCATCACTGTCTTGCCAGAGACGTGCCGATACTTTAGTTCAGATGCCCCTCCACAGTGAGAATATCCTTAACCCTCCTTCAGAGTGCAGGCATTGCACTCTGAAGATTCAAGTTCAGCTAACTGTTTGCCTCCACTCACTCCTATATACCATACACAAAGCATGCTACATCCATCCACACTTTACTTATATTTTGCAAACTTTTCTGATCATATAACAGCAAATTTATATCACATATAGGGAATTACCTATGGAAATGGGGTTGATGCATAAACAGTCCAGGGGAAATTAGTCACTTTTTTTAGGTCAAATGTTGAACTAATTCGTAATGGAATGACATTGATAAAATTATAAACATACTCCTTAATAAAGTGAAAAAATGAAAGAGCACAAAAATCTGTACACGTAAGAATACTTGAATTTTTAATGTGTAGTATATTACTTTGAGAAAATAAGCATTTCACTTCCACAATAGATGCATTCCCTCCCTTTAATTTCAACACTGTTTAATGATCAGCTGGCAAAGTACAGAAATGTCATTTTTTTTTTTTTTTTTTTGCTGGTTATAAAGTGAACTGATGTTCTTAAGTAAATGATAAACACTGACAATTACAAACAAGGGGAAGTACAGTATCATAATTGTAGACAAAGAGAAATACAGTGCAGCCTCTCCTCACTTAGTGACGTACTCATTTACTGATGACTCTGACTTACGACGGGCTCTCTGACCAGTGTGCATACCTAAATAATGTATATTAGAGCTTATTTCTTCTATTCTGTTTATTACAATATACAGTACACTACTGTATAAACATTTAAAAATATATCAAAAATGTTATAAATGGTGCAAAGGCAACATTAAAACATTATTAAAGATGGTTGACACAAACCCACTACCATTATGGTATGCTCCTCACTCAGCGACAAATTTGTTTACCAATGTGTGTTAGGAACGGAACTCCGTTGTTAAGTGAGGAGAGGCTGTACAGTATAGTACTGAAAATGGAAGAACTGTGTCCATGTGATAAAAGACTAACAGCGATACCAAGTATTAATGTTACCAATACTATTGCTTATCTCTATGCCTTCTGTGGAAGTGCTTCCTACTGTTAACCAAATTTCCTTAAAGGTTTTTCAAAAGAGAAGCAACTTAGAATTAAAAAAAAAATGCTCTTGTCAAAGGCCTTGACAGTGTGACCATTGTCAAAGAAAACAGTGATGTTGAATACAAAGGACATTTTATGGATGTGAGGGAAATGGATGCACATTCCTAATCATTCTGGTTGGAATGAGTTTATAGAAGTGATAGCTCACTCTCTTACTTACAACACATCAGAAGTAAAATTCTTACCATTTCTCAATATGCCAGCCAGCAATAATGAATCAATGCTGTGCAAGAAAGGTATAAAATACTGACAATATGAAAGTTAAGACACATGTGCAACATCTGGATATATTTATTGTAGACGTTTCGCCATCCATTGGCTTTATCAATACAGATTCTAGGACATAATTAGAAGACAGTAGAACTATATACAAAAGATGAGCTAATCAGTCCCTCAGCCTTGGAGTTAGTGTTCACAGCATCATGGTGGTGGAGAATCTGGAGCAAAGGCAAGGAGACTGGCGGTTATATAGGCGTCAGTGGATAGGGACGTGTAACAGACGAGGGAATAGTCATATCATGGAATCTTGGTTCAGAGGACATCTACAAGACCCTCTTCACGGCTACTACAA